AACATCCAATGACCTTATTTGTTCCAACCCCCCACTTTATTTCACACTACACATTTTTCAGCCACATTTATTTCATAAGGCCCCGTTTGGCAGCATCATAAATTTAAGTGTAATATTGCATTATTAATTCAATCAAAAATAAACCACACAATAATATATAACAAAATTTTCACTGAGGCAAGGTCAACTACTGATTTCAAGGTTAGTATGAAAAAAGTTGAAGTAATGGACTACCTTCAGCACCATAATACCAATATTACACTTTTTACCCATATAAAGTGTAATATTGATATTATGGAGCTCAAGATGGCCCAAGATATCAATTTTTTCACAACATTAATGAAAACAGTAGTTGAATTTTCCCAAGTAACAATTTTATTGCATGTTCCCCATTGGTTTATTTTTTTATTGAATTAATCAAGCAGTATTACACCTAAATTTATGATGCTGCCAAACGGGGACTAAATACTTGTCTTTCAGATACAACTTATTAATTTCATACTTCTCATTTCAGCTGATATCTGGGCACTATTACCTGATCAGAACCACCCCACATTTATATATAGACTACACTTTTCCACTGATTTTTTTCCCCATGCTTGCATTGGAGAAGTAAACAGATAATTACTTAACAGACATCACTTACTAGTAATTACCAGAACTAATTATTATTGATTTTCCCCCAGCAGATAAGAAATTGAACCCAGAGACCATTATCCCCCAGAGCCTCATCCTTATCAAAATTCCCCACATCCTCAATCTCTCAGCAGGTGTCTTGTACAACACATCCATAATAAATCACATACTAAGCTCACCCTCAGGAATAGCTGCACCTTTTCTTTAATTATTAGTATAAATCTCTCCCAAGCCTTTACAAGATAGCAGATTCATCAGCATCCAAGCCTTCTCACATTTTCCCCTTTGTAGTTGTCTTTTCCCCTCTAAGGTTTTTTCTTTAGCTTGAAAAGTTACACATTGTTGGGAGTGCACAACTCTCAGTTGCCAAGAGGAACATCCCCAACTGTCTTGAGTGTACAATTATCAACAGCCATGGATGTTCCTCTTGTCTTTTGAGAGTGTGCAACTCTCAACGGTTGAGGTAACACTCTGTGTTTTCCTCTTGGCTTTTGAAAGTGTACAACTCTCAGCGGCCAGGGTGTTCCTCTTGGTTGTTAAGAGTTGTCCACTCTCAATGGATGAGGGTGTTCCTCTCATTCATTGAGATTTTACAACTCTCAGTGACCTTCAAGGGTGTACAACTCTCAGTGGCCTTCATGAGTGTACAACTCTCAGTGGCCTTCAAGAGTGTACAACACTCAATGGCCAAGTTAGCACTCTTGGCCATCAAGAGGTTTGACGGCTGGGGGAACACCCTTGTTTGTTGAGAGTGGACAACTCTCAACAACCAAGTGGAACACCCTTGGCCATTGAGATTTGTACACTCTCAATGGCCAAGAGTGTTCCATTGGCCGTTGAGAGTTGTACACTGTTGACAGCTGAGAGTATTCCCCTTGGCTGCTTAGAGTTGTACACTCTTAACAACCAATAGGAACACCCTTGGCTCCATCAAGGTGTACAGAGGGGGGGGGGGCAATCCTCAAAGGCCAGGAGAATTTAGGCTGCTGAGTGTTTACAAATCTTGACAGCCCAGAGGGCCGTCAAGATTTTCAGGGCATTCCCCAGAATTTTTCTCCGGGAAATGATTTTTTATATTAAATTCTTTGGGAGCCAATTCCCGTTCCCAGTGCAGGAATGGGAGGTACAAATCCCAAGTTTTAGGAGGGAATATGGTTTTTTGGGGGGCTGGGGAAGTCTTGGGATGGTAACCAGGAAGTCCCTTGATGACTCCCAAATTTGCAAGTCAATTGTACCAAATTTGGGAGTTAATTAACTAAGGCCCTATTAAATAACATTGGTGCAATCTAGAACTCTGAAGTTCTAATGGTACAGCTTTACCATTCTACAATACCTTTGATTCCATGTGGAACCAAGGGGTTTCAGATTTTAAAATAATCTAGTGCACACACTCATTCAGCAGTCCAAGCTCCTATTCATGCTTTCTTGAATTAATCAGACCTACACAAAAACATTGAATCTTCATCATCTTGCTTGGAAAAAATCCATTCCACAACACTCAATGGAAGGATTCTGACTTGAATCTTTTTTTCATCACTGTTGTTGTTCTCTCAAGATCACTAGCGGCAAGTTGTCATGAATGTAGTGGTGATTAGATCTTTCTTTCTCTTATTGTGAATGGATAATCTTAAGGATATATTTCTTAAGTAAGCATCGAGATACATTAAGAAATATATGAAACAAAAAGGATTCCTAACCTTAAGGCAATCAACAAGTGCGCAATGAAGAAGGAAAAAAAAACAAAGAAAGCAGCACAAGACAAAAGAGGACTGAGATACAGTGAAGGAAGTGCTATCGTTAATGTCTTGATCAGTTGAGAGCAAAGAAGAGAAAGATTGAGCCAGAGAACCTACGATGATGTTATTGACCTAGCGTGGTTTGGGAAGAATCGGCGAGTGATCGAAGAAAGAAGGGAAGTACAGGT